CACAAATCTATCACATTATAACAAGTACTTGTGTTTGATATTTTATTTTGTCACATGTATATACAATAATTCAACATGAAATTCTCCAGTTTCTATAGACATTAGAGGAAACATATAAATATATATATATATATATATTTATATAAATTAACATCTTTAAAACTGACATACACACAACAGAGAGACATAGATAAAACTGTGTGACATTACATTGGTTCTATGTGCTAACTGAAAAAAATATTTCTTTCATAATGCAACTGCAGCACAATTTCATATATGCCTTCCCATTCATACATATGTGGTAGGCAAGGTACCCCCATACACACTGCCTAACAAAGGCAAGATGCCCCCTTTCACACTGTCTTTTATAGGCAAGGTGTCCAAATTGCCTCCCCCAACCCCGTACGTACTACTTCACACAGGCAAGTTGTCCCCATATGCACTGCCTAACAAAGGCAAGGTGCCGCTTTCACACTGCTTCACATTGGAAAGGTGCCCCCTTTCACACTGCTAAACTTAGGCAAGATGTCCCACTTACACTGTCTCAAATAGGCAAGATATCACACTGCTACTTATATACATGAAGGTGCCCAATTCACACTGCCTCCCACGGGCAAGGTGCCCCCTTTCACCCTTATTGTACACGTGAAAGTGCCCATTCCACACAGCCTCACACAGGCAAGGTGCCTCCTTTCACACTGCTAAATGTACACATAAAGGTGCCCAATTCACACTGCCCCACACAAGCAAGGTGCCCCCTTTCACACTTATTGCATACATGAAGATGCCCAATTCACACAGCCTCCCACAGGCAAGGTGCCCCCTTTCACACTTATTGCATACATGAAGGTGCCCAATTCACACAGCCTCCCACAGGCAAGGTGTCCCCTTTGACACTGCTTAATGTATACATGAAGGTGCCCAAATCACACAGCCTCACACAGGCAAGGTGCCCCCTTTCACACTATTTGTAACATGCAGGTGCCCAATTCACACTGCCATGTTTCAAGGCAACAGGGAACAGAGAACACATGAACAGGAATCTGTGGAAACCATACACCGTGTCATCTGATCAGTTCACACATTACTTAATGCATAAAGAAACCGAAACTAGAGAAAAATAGGACTACACACTGCTACACCATGTACACACAGGAAAAGAGTATTCAACAAAGGTTCCACTGTGTATATAGCCAGTGGCAGTCTAGGTCAATGTACACCACTAAAACAAACACTAGTACAATAAGAGTGATAGTAAAAGGATCATAAAGATACCGTAAAAGATACTACATAACCATAGAAGTATAAAACCTGCCCACAGAATAAACTATCTGCATCTGTTAGTGGTGTGTTCAGCAGCAGCAGCAGCAACAAAAACACAAAGTCCCATCCTTGCACAGGGCAAACCCCATCCTGCTCAACTGGCCACAACCTCCAACATTCCAAAAGTTGTCATTCAAATTATTTCACTTCCCAAGATAAGGTTTTTCTTGTGATCTTCTTTTGAGCATTTTGAAAGTTCATTCATATGTATTGAGCACAAATGTACAGAATTGAACATTATCTCAAGGTCAGAGAAAAACACATATAAATCTGGTTAAGACATATCTGTATTTTAACATGATAGTTTACAGTGCTGTCACACGAAAATTCAACGAGAAAAGTTAACTTGCTGCATTTGGCATGACTGAAGAAACAATGGGTTCTTAAGTCCCAACATCAGAACATCAATATTATTAGTAGAACACATGTGAATTGTTGTCATCAACTGAAGACCTGTGAATGAGGAAAATAAGAATAATCGTAGCAAGTAATCTTTATGTTTATTAGGTTTGGACCGGGAAGTATAATACCATACATCTGACAGACCTGCCAAATAACAATCTGATGAAGATAATTGCCTGTTCGATGCATTGCAAAACCTTTGGATTTGTATGACACACACACGAGTAAGAAATAATAACATTTCACTGCAGCAACTGTGTATCATGATACACAGCGTCACGATACAAATATCGCATGAGGTCACGTGACAAAACATTAAATGCATAAATAATCACGAAATATGGTATGAAAATAAATTGAAAATAGTATTTTCTCACAGTATATACAAGAGGTAACAAGCCACATATGTTTTTGATAGGGTCCTTACCCCTTTGTTTTGATGATGACATGTGGGCCCTCAGAGACTACATACCCTTCATGTGACGAGGGTCGAGGGCGTGGACGAGTCCAAATTTACTACCTGGGTAGCCGACCCGGTATTACCCAACCCTACCCGGGTACCCACTGCAGGTCTCAAGAGTTGGGAACAAAATGAGTGATTGGTAATTGTTTTACCACAGCCCTGGCCAAAACTATTTAGATACTTGTATAAAACAATCAGACCATGCGTTGAAGTTGACTGAAGCTTTATCATTACTCAAACATATACAAATAAAAAGGAATGTGTGCATCGTCAGAAAGAAATGCAACCATTAGTGACTTGTTGTGTAACCACTGAGCTATAGTGAGTTTTTAACAGTATTCCAGTTATATCACGGAGTGTCAGCTTAATGTGGGTGGAAAGCCAGAAGTGATGCAGGTCTTGCACGTTTACCACTTCGGTGAAACCCACGAGCACTGGTATGATGCTGACAAACCTAGAAACATAATTGGGGCGAACCAGCATTCGAACCCACAATCATACGTTTCTGGCGTGCCAAAGGGCCGCTACTCTGCACAGCGAATCGTTGGGCCACCCGTGCACCCAACCTACTACCCAGCAAAGCAGTCATGTGTTCATGTGTTCACGGGTGATAGAGGAACACAGTGTATACTAACACATGAACTTCTGACCACGATTCACCAAAGGGCTGTTAGTATTTCCAGATACTTTCCCAAGATTCCCATTCTATCTCAACACAGCAAACATTATTGTGAATTTTACAGTTTTATTCATACTGCCCACACATAATATTCAGACTATTCAATTTGTTGTTTAATCTGATAATGAGAGCAACTTGTTTACAGTAGGCAAACATCAGGGCTTTCCATTATCTGATGATTGAGAAGGAAATGAGATGTGTTTTAGGCACAGGTCTTTTGGAATTTTGTCTGTTTAAGATTTTACATATTCCAATATATATCTTCTTTGCAGAAGGAAAGTCATAAAACTTGTATTGCAATACTGAACTAACATAGAAACCTATTGGCTATAATGATGCATGGAGATCCTGACCAGTACATGTGATAAATAGTATATTCCCTCAGGGACAGGACTAAACTCAAAAGTTGCAGATCCTGACCAGTACATGTGATAAATAGTATATTCCCTCAGGGACAGGACTAAACTCAAAAGTTGCAGATCCTGACCAGTACATGTGATAAATAGTATATTCCCTCAGGGACAGGACTAAACTCAAAAGTTTTACAAGCCTGGGAAAAGAAACAATGCAATGTAATGTTAAAACAATGGGGGATTTTGGTAGTTTGTACTTGCCTACAGGAATTTGTACAAGTCTCGGGCTAGTGGGCTAGTGTTAAGTTCTAACCACGTTATCCCCTGATTAATTTGATTTGAGAAGTTGTGACACTTTTGTTCAGTAACCAATGTCTGTAGTACACCATGCTCAATTCAAGAACCATACAGTAATGTCTTTGACACTTCATTCAATATGTCAAAAAGCGATAATCATTATCCAAATTCTATCACTACAAGATGAATCTTAAATGCATAAGACAACGCCATACCATAAAACAATGCCAAACAATAATTAAAAAAATACAAATTTCATGAAAAGGAAAACATTTTTCACTTCACTCTTACCTGATAAATATCAGTTTATAAAACAAAGCAATACACATTGACGGTACACTTTTGTGAAGCATTACTGTGGTAACACAAGTAGGAACAATAACTTGTATTCTACTTTCCTGAAAACCCAAATGCAACAAATCTAGTGACTGTCCTAAACTTCCTAAGCACTTCACAGCCATTTGAACAGAGAAATGAACTATGACGGCACTACAGATTTCCCAGTGATCAACTACAGAAAATAAAATACTAAACTTTCAAACTATTTATATTTGTTTATGATTTAAATTTTGATGGATTAGAAACAAAAACATCTCACAAAATGTAACTGTCAACTTTATTAATAAACTGTTCCATACAGAGCATAACCCCCGACCACTGCACTTATCATGCTTATTACAGAGGAGTATTCGGACAGAAGTGAATACATTCATTTGTCCCCGTGCCAATTGTAAAATATCCTATACACAGCTGTGAGTTTTGGAAAAAAGTGTGCACTATTCTCAAGAAAATATGGTATTCATAACGGATGTGTATCTATTTCCCCCCACATTAACAACCAAATCAACTTATGACAAATGACAAATAAATCTAAAATACTTCAAATAAAACACAAATTTTAATTAATTTGACCTACTCAATCTTATTTGTAGGTATATAGTAAGTTATACAAGACAATAGTATGGACAAACCCTGTTTAGAAAACAAGTACGAGTCACAGCCTACAGTCACAATCTGACACCTACAACATGGGCAAGTTGCAGAAGGGATAGCCTTGGCAGGAAGTACATTGGCACATGATCATATCTTCCTCCATGAGCGAATAAGCGAGTGAACAGTATTTCAGTTATATCACGGCGTGCCCACTTAATGTGGGAGGAAAGCCCAAAGTAAAGCCCACATTTACCAAGAATCACATTCAGGGAGAATCAGGGATTTGAACTCCTGGCATGCCTAAGGGACACAACTCTGCATAGAACTGCAGCATCACATACCCGATTCTCCTTTCACTTCTAATGAAGTTAGTTAACACATAATGAAGACCAGATTACCAATTCTTCCAGCATGGTCAGGCTAATGTTTCATAGGACTAATGTATAACTGGATTTGAATTTATTCAGATCCTTTGTTCCAGTGTGGTTCCAACAACTTGTCCTTTGTGGTTTACCTCCTGGATCAGTTAACACACATGCTGACAAAAAACTTGCTATGTTGACACTGTCTTTATTTGTTTCACTGACAATATCCTTTCTACGTTGATGAAGTCACAAGGTCCTTGTGTTCAGGTGAGGTAAGATGAGAAACGTGTTCATCAATGTGTCATTTCCACCACTTTCATCCCAATGAAGCTCCCACATGTGGAGAAGTGTATGCCACAATCACTTCAGCAGTGCGTGCTGTTCATGAATAAATACAACAAACATGTCTTTGGTCTACTATACAAAACTGTCCATATAATAGTTTTTCTCTTGTATTAACCGCTGTTTTTTCAGCTGGGTGCGTTGAACCAATTTTCTTATCTCAGACACAACGAACACACTTGAGGTGAGTGCTATCAAGAACAGGAAATCTGAAATATGAATAAACAAAATTTAAATAAAAAACAACAGCAAAATAATAACAAACATACAAAGAGAAAAAAGTTTTAGCTACAAGTATCATGGTAATTCTGAGTTTGTGAGGACATTCATATTTTCTGGAGGAGAACATTAAATAGTGAGTGACTGTGATGGAGGCTTGTTTAACACTGAAGTCGACATTGCAAATAATCAAGTCTGGACCTGATGATGGTAAGAGCAATGATCCTCCCAGTTGGATAGACAATCAACCCGGTCATACATTGTACCCAACTAATCCTCATTTAGGATGCTTCTTCAAACAAGCGCGGAGAACTGGGGACCTATTCTACCCCTGAATCCTCACATGGTCTCTACTGCTGTCAATAGTCTCTGATAAGAGGTTTTTTTTAAAGTTTTGACACCATTTGAGTTTCAACAAATTGTCTTGGAAGACATTTTCACCATTAATTTAGTGAGAACACTGAGAAAGATTATTTAATCTGTGACATGATTTTGTTCGTAGGTTGTTTACACCACACTCAGCAATATTCCAGCAAAAAGATGATGGCCTGTAAATAATGGAATCTAGACCAGACAAACCTGTGATTGGTAGTATGGGCAAATATTCACATGATGACACGACAACCAAGTGACCAAGCCTGACCAGCGGATCCATTAAGTCGCCTGATATGACAAGCATGGGTTGCTGGGGACCGTTTCTAACTGTGCTCCCCACTGGGGTGTAGTGACATGACATATCTGTCATCTCTGGTTTACACTTCTCTCACCTGTGGCATGCAGAGCCTCCGTTTGAAACACAGCCTGTAGGGGCGGGAAATAAATAACCAACAGCTGGCCGATAATAGAACCTCCCACAGCAACCAGAAAAACTTTGTTGGTCAAAAATCCAACTTGAAATATGGACTTTGTCTGAAACAAATCAAAACAAGAATAAAAAATTTTCGCCATGGTGCAATGTCATAAGGATAATATAAGAAAACAAACTTCTTAATGATTATTTCTGGTAACCATGCCAACAACAATATCATACTACATGCTTTGGATCAAATACAAATGTTAATGTTGATAATAAAAAGGCAAATTTTACGAAACCAAGGGACAATACCAATAGTTTTAACAGGTAGTGGTCTTAGTAGTCACAGCCACATGCAGACCGCCTCCGTGGTAGAGCGTCCGCCCGGACAGCGGAAGGTCCTGGGTTTGATCCCCGGCCGCGTCATACCAAAAGACATTATAAAAGATGGTACTTGTTGTTACCCTGCCTGGTGCTCGGCATTAAGGGGCTAAAACAAGGACTGGTCAGCTCGGAGTCAGTATACTGTGTCTTGAGTGGGGTATTCATGTTAAACTGTGGCATGGTATCTCAGTGAGCTAGCACTATAAATCGGCATCAGTTCGGACTAGTACAAGCAGCCACACAAACACACACACGTACATGCACGTCGCTATATAAGTGCAATAATCTTGGACGCGACGTTAAACCCCATTTCACCTCACCTCACCTCACAGCCACATGTGCAATATACACAGTTGACAGCCACATGTTTGATGCTGCTACAGGTTACAGCATCTGTTACAGTAACAGTGAGAGAGTGTGGTTTTACGCTGCTTTTGGCAATATTCCAGCAATTTCACTGTGGGGGGACACCAGAAATGGGCTTCACAAACTGTACCCATGTGGGCAATTTACTGGTAACAGTATCACTCTCATGCTCCGACTGCTCCTGCGTACATCTCAGGCTACGGTCACTGCTTCCATATACAGACTACTGGTTGTTGTACTGTTATTGAGGATTAACCTACCTGTGATCTGCAGCTAAGTGCGTTGAACATATCAAAGAATACAAAACATGTGAAGGTCATGGTTGTATCTCTTGGTGTGATCTTGTTGTCACTCATCTGAAACAGTCAACAGTAAAAGTGAGTTGGTTTTACGCGCTAGGAACAGTATTTCAGTAATGTCACATCATACTGGCTTGATGTCCGAGGAAAGCTCTAAGTGATGCAGGTCTTTCATTAGTCTGTCTTACCCTGATACAAATATATATCAAATACAGCCCATGCAATCTATAATGTTTGGCAAGTCTAGATTACTGCAGTATCAGGAATGAAGAGTCACTGGGCTCCTTTTTATTATATTTGTATTAAGATAACTGAACAACTGTTTTTTTCTGTACAATATGTTCATTTCAGAGATTAGATGTTAGTTTAGTCTTTCATGTTTACCACATGGGTTTCACCAGCTGATAGGGTGCTTGCTCTTCCATGTTATCCGATGGAGACTATTGCTAACTGGGTTCCTATTTCTCTCATAAATCATTCAAACATATAAGATAGCTATGCAATAAATTGCAAAGAACAATGGAGAACAAAGCATGGTTTATTTCACGATAAAACATTGTTCTATCATGAAATAATTTCTGGAGATTTAAACATACGCTCACAACTTGATAACATCGTACATTGGACAATGTTACTTTTGAGAGGGAAGTGTCTCATGTCTAGTTGTTTTCCCATGGGTGTAGCTGGGCAATGCAGATAAACACAATGGCCAAACGAACACATCCAAAAGTGGGCGACATAAGAAAATCGGTATTGGGAGAAAAGGTACAGATAATCGATGTGACCATTGTGAGAATATCGGGGAAATACCAAACTTAGCTCCCCTGTTCATAAAATGGACTTGTCCGACATTGCTGAGAACAAATTGTATTCAGGGAGTCATCATTATTTATGTACGGCTAAATATTTTCAAAGCTTGTATTTTTTTTTAACCTCCTTGAAGAGACTGTACATAATGTTGATATCGCATATACAAAAAAAAATAAAAAATCATATTGTAATTTTTTTTCCTTTATCTACACAAAAACTAAGAAATATGGGAGGGGCGCAATGGTTTAGGAGGCTGCAAAAGCAATACATGTAATCTTGGTTTGGATGTTTAAGATATTGGAGAATATAGGAACCAGTGATGACAGTGAATGCCAGATACTGCAGTGACTTGAGAGCAATGGTGCATCGGAATGTCCACAGTTACATACCTCTCTCCAAAATACCCATAAAGTTCCGCTGACAATGATGAATGCTGACACAAGAATCTGAGCAATGAGGCCCCGGGTGATGATGGGGTCCTGCACGCAACGCGGGGGTTTCCGTATCACATCATGATCAACAGGCTCCACCCCCAGACTGAAAAATAACATTGTTTTATTACAATTGAGTAAGAGCTTAGCAGTGTGTTTGCTGTTTAATGCCACTCAGCTTTATATATGGCAATATCATGGCAGGGGACACCAGAAATGGGCTTCACACATTGTACCCAAGTGGGGAATTGAACCCTGGCCCTCGGCTACCGTGACAAGCGAGTGCTTTAACCACTAGGCTACCCCACCTCCCCTACAACCAGCATAGGTTGCTGGGGATCTATTCCAACCCGGAATCCGCACGGCACAGTGGTTTACATGTAAAGTTCAAGCTAAGGGAACAATAAAAAAAATATTTGATTTTATTATCAAAATTTTTAGTTTACATTTTCAATTACAATTTCAAGGTATCTGTGTTCATTTACTGTCCCTTAACGTAATTTGCATAAATGTTTGATAAGCCAAGGAAGACACTCATGAACATACATTTGTAGTTTCATGAAACATAGTAATGAAACATTAATTCTGAAGCTTAAAAGTGAACTGTAGTCCACTGAGTGGTATAAAGAAATATGACAGATGACCAAGTGAGTGAGTGAGTGAGTATGGTTTTACACCGCTTTTAGCAATATTCCATTAATATCACGACAGGGGACACCAGAAATGGGCTTCACACATTGTACCCATGTCGGGAATCGAACCCGGGTCTTCGGCGTGACGAGCGAATGCTTTAACCTCTAGGCTACCCGACCGCCCCAGATGACCAAGGACAAACAACAACACCATGACTTCACCATCACGCCCTCGTCTGTCTCCCTTGGGTTGATGTTCATACTGACCTCTGTGCAGGGGGCCCATCCATGATTATATTGATCCACAGTATCTGCATGGCATTCAGTGGGTTGGGGAGACGCATCACCGTCGACAGCGTGATCAGAGACAAGGCAGCTATACTCCTGTTACAAAATACAGGAAATACTTTTCAAACAGGGAGAAAGAGAAATTTAGGCTTAATAGAAATCTCTTAAGATGTGTTTGTTCTTTATCACCGCACTCAGCAATATTCTAGCTATATGGAGGATAACTAATTGTGTCTTTACCAGACAAACCAGTGATTGAAAGCATGAGCAATGACCACGAGAGCATAACAGTGAATGAGTATGGTTTTACGCTGCTTTTAGCAACATTCCATCATTATCATGGCAGGGAGCAGCAGAAATGGGCTTCACACATTGTGCCCATGTGGAGAATCGAATTGACCACTAGGCTTCACAACCGCCCCCAAAGCCATAGCACAATCAGTGAGAAGTCCCAGAGCTTGACCACCTGATCCCTATTATAATCAGATCCTATGCAAACATGAGGTACTGGAGACCCATTCTGACCCAGAATCCCCACAAGGCAGCTACAGCACATAGCTGCTGTTCAAACTAGGATGCCAGAATCTTCATGTTCAGATTTTCATTTCCACAATGAAAAAACACAAACAGATGATGCCATACATAAGTCTTCTTTTTACTAACAGATTTAATCATTTTTTTATTAAATATACCCAAGTGTCGGTGATCAAAATATCATTACAAATAGACTTTTTAAACATGTTAAAACTATAGCGAAGTTAAAAGCTAATGAATTTTAAAAAATACAAAAGGGTATTATTTCTGAAAGATCTAAGGGTAACATTTACCTAGATTTCTTGTTTAGCATCGTTTTTTCTCGACTGACATTTTTTACTTGTCTGGGGCAAAAAGGCATGGGTAAAAAAATATTTTTCTGTAAACCAGTAACATCTTGTCACCTGGAGTAAGAACTAGAAACCCTACTATACAACTTAAGAGTCTATCAATATCAAAATGTCAACACTTACGTGCTAAGCTGAAACCTGACAAAGTTTTTTATGTTGTAAAATATTCCCTTTCCTTCTTCAATAGCAGATCTGAAACCAAAAAACATGTTTATTAATGTCAGTTCCAGGATTAAATAACATAAACACATACAAAAACAAACTATCTGACTGAAGCTGTGCAAAACTAACAACTATGTATACACAGTTGTTGGGACAGCAGGATCATCAACATGAACCATGGGTTACCTCCCTTTGCACATGTTGCATGTTTTTAATTTGTAGACAGAGTAATTGCAAATTTACAAATCCAAATTATGATACATACAAAATAACCTACATAAAATCAATCAAACATAATTACATATTTTATACATTTATAAATTAGCATGATTATAGCTGAAGATAGAAGTGTTTTGAGAAAACACCAAGCCTCATGTCTGCGAGAGTCCACTTACAAGATGGTGGAGAAGTCATCGTCTACAAGAATCATGTCAGCTGCCTCCTTAGATACATCGGTCCCAGACTTGCCCATGGAAATACCGATCTCAGCACTTTTAAGAGCCACAGCATCATTGACGCCATCACCCGTCATGCCAACAACTAAACCATTGTCCTGCAAAGCCTGGTGGAGAGACAGACAGTACTCAATTAGCTTATGTACGAGTGCTCCGTGCTGAACCACTATACTGGCTCTCCTGGTATACTGCACCCACGTATCATTAGTATATATGACTACCATCATGCAACAGAACACACAACAAAATCTTTGAGAATGCTAAAATATATATTTACAATTTACCCACATAATAACAGAAGATCTAGCCTGTTGATGTTAATAAATCAAAAATATGATTATATACAGTGAACATGGTGACATAAAACTTAGTCTAAGGGTGCATAAATAATCTATCCAGTAATTAAAATCATTCACAGTTTGAGACATCAGTTTCCTCAAAGCAAAAGCAATATTAGAAATGGTCTCATTTCCATTGAATCAGTTGGGATGCCTCATCATGCTCATAGAATATATATCAAGATGTGTAAGCTTATTGTGGAATGAAGGCTGAAATGATGCAGGTATAGAGCACGGGAATGGGTCTGACAAACTTAGAAATATAATCTGGGCGATCCTGGATTCGACCCCACAATCATAGGTTTCTGTCATGCAAAACTGGGCAAATTGAATTTCGTCACTTTAGACGACTGGACCACCCATACCCTCTGAAACTTATGAACATTGGTATGATGCGAGCAAACCACGGATCATAATAAGGGCAACTCTGGGAATGGATCCTGGTTATCGTACAGGATGCAACTCTGCACAGTGCAGTTAAGCTTATGCACGACTTCAAAACACTAACAAGATTCCATGTGTTGTGCTTACCCTGACAATCTTCAGTTTATGCCTGGGAGTGACCCTGTAGAAGACACAGACCTCGGGGATGACCCTCTTGAGTTGCCCCGGGTCCATCTGATCGATCTGATTCCCAGACAGCGATGAAGCCCCAGAAGCATACAACCCAAGTCGGGCCCCTGCAATTCATACACAATCATATAAGGGGGGTTTTCACTGCACGACTGTCACCTACTATAATTACCAGTATAGTGCACATCAAACTGATTTCTTGGTCTGTACCAATGGTTTGCACAAATGTAACTAAAATCCTACATAAGAACATAACATGGCAGTTACACTGACCTAGTGAATGACATAGTAATCACACAAAGATAAAAAAAGAACCTACCGACAGCTTTGGCAGTTTCTTCTGAATCCCCAGTCAGCATCTTGATGGATACTCCTCCGCCTGTGAGAGTCCATATGGCTTCCCGGACTCCTTCCCGAGGTGGGTCAATCATCCCCACCATCCCAACAAACACCAGCTTGTTCATGTCTGTGCCATACGCCATTGCCAACACTGTAGGAAAAGAGAAGAGTGAGTGAACAGCCTATTCCAGCAGTCAGCAAATCATAGTATTTCAGAGGCATCACATTGGTCGGCAATCTGATGTTGAGGCTAGGGCTCTGACAAGGACCCAAGCACTTAAGCACAGATAAGGAATAAATGGACTCAAGTCCGACATCATGGCCTCATGTACATGACCAAGGCCCCACTCCACAAATCTTAGATCTACGATGTCATAGGTCAATGTTCAAGTATGGGAATTATGATCATCACGGGTTGATAGCCAGGGCTCGCTTAAATAATGTAAAACATGCACCAGTGCAACCTGTTATTGAAAAACGCAACCTAAAATTTATGTATTTATGAAAACATTTTCAAATATATGTCTGACTAACATTTAGTTTACAGTTTACACACAACCATCTTTGAACTCACTCTGTACCTCTAAGCTTTACGTACACCACTTATCACTGTGTTCTGTGTAATTTTTCATGCTTTCGTAGGCTTGATATCATCAAACTGTGGGTACTTCAACATTATGTGTACATGTTCCTATTACGCTTTATAGTGATACATCATTAATTTATGTAAAATCATGATGCAGTTATCAGAGATCTGAGATATTAATCATTTAGACTGTTTCAACATAGATACATTTTCGGAACCTAGGTCCTGTCCTGGCTATCCCCATTTTAGTGTGCACTTAGCATGTGGTACATGGGACAGTTTCTAACCCTGTACCTTACAGTCACTACAGAAACTTTGGTCTTTTCTGCTTTGATCTGATAATCATACTCAGAATCTATTGTGAGGCATCTCGGGAGAAGCATAGGTTGCCATAGTTACAGGGTTACAACTACTCTCAGGAAAAGCATAGGTTGCCATAGTTACAGGGTAACTACGCTTGCCAAGGATAAAGTGGAACTGCTTGACATTACTAAGTCTGATAGCCTGGATAAATTAAGGACTAAGAGAGTTGGGATTAATCCCGCTTTGACCATTATGTCAGTTATATCACTGCAAGTTTGGAGGAAAGCCCAAAATGAAGGTCACAAGTGCTGGAATGGTGGTGAAATATCAAGGACAATAATCAGTCGATCAGTGGATCCTGGCACAACTAAGAGAGGTAACTGCACAGCGCAGTGCAACACCTGCGCCCACCCGGCCACCCTGCTATATGTGTCACCTCTGAGTCCCGCACTGCCGAGTGCAGCTGCCTGGTTATAGTAGCTGTCTCTCTGTTTCTCCGAGATGGGCAGCGAGGCTCCGTTGTAGTAGTAGGAGGTTGACTGTCGCAGCACATGCTCCAGGGCACCCTTCACAAAGTACAGGGCCTCTGTGTTCTGGGGGAGGGAAACATACAGCCTTCAGAATTCATGCTGGTCCACTAGCCGAAGACTACCAGATTGTGCTGAGGGCTAGTAAGAATCCAATGCTAGTGCTTATTGAATAGTAGCATTTGGGAACTATAATTCTGAACAAGTTCTTAATGCTACAATCATAATTTGAACTGATGAAACTGTTCGAGAAAAAAAACCTAGTAAAAGTTTGGTCTTGTTCAAGTTGGACCAGCTACAAATTCTGACGAGTTTAGGTTTACACTAGTCCTCTAGACTAGTCTTAAGAAAAACATTTCTAACACTGAATATACAAATCAAAGAGGACAATCCAAGAGGATATCCGTAGACATAAACAAGAATCATTATAAATATTTCATACGTGTACAACATCTCATGCTATGGAAGCCTTCCTCAGTTTGGCTCATGCTGAATATTAACATTAACATAGAAACACTACTTGAATGTTGTTTTATGTCACAGCAATATTCCAGTCCCATGACCACCTGCAATTTCAAATAAAATTTGGGTCTGGCCAACCAGTGTATGACACCATGAGCATCAAGTAACACCATTGTTTGTTTGTTTGTTTGTTGTTTAATGCCGCACTCAGCAATATTCCAGCTATATGACGGCAGTCTGTAAATAATTGAGTCTGGACCAGACAATCCAGTGACTGACATCATGCGCATCAATCCACGCAATTGGGATCGATGTCATACATCAAGCAAAGTCAGCGAGCCTGACCACCCCATCCCGTTAGTCGCCTGTTACGACAAGCTAACACCGTTGGGGCACAATGACTACATGGGATCTTTTCAATTCAGGACTCCTACATTAGGATGTAGTAAATGCATGTCATATCTGGATAGATGGAGCTGTGAGTTACCTGTCCGTATCGGGGGCGACACTTGACCACCATGTACTTGGTCTCGGAGTTGAACGGCCATTCCTGTATACGATGGAAGTTGTCCCTCACGCTGTGCATGTGCATCTGCAGAGTGAGTGAGGGAGTGAGACAGAAGCCCAAATCAAGGATGTCAACATCACATACACAAGAAGAATAGCCTATGGCACCAGGCTTACCACCCTTTCAACTTAACATGGGTCACTGGGGACCAATTTTATCCCCGCATGCCACAGGTCCATTTTCTCTACCAATAACATCAATATCAAATAGATGTGAACGTCATTAATCAAGAAGTATCATCGTCCATGATAGCAAGAAGTTACTTACTTTGAGAGAAACGGCTATAAGAGCGCCCTCTGTTGGCTGGCCTCTCAATCCTTCCATAGATAACTCTGCATTGTTACACACACAGCCCACCTGGAATCAGACCATGACCTTAGTTTTAGCAGAACTGAACTGAACTTTATTTACACTCAAGTCGCTAGCAGCGACATCAGAGGAACAATTCAGGAAAGATTATAGAAAAATGCATGTAGATTACAGAAAAAACTTATTACAATGTCATCAGTCATAAATCAGGAAAAAACACAATTTTTGGATATTTGTAAGATTAGAACTTTATCATGATTATTTTATACAACTTGGATATTTTTCCTAATCTTCAGCTATTATAGTGCAAATTCATGTCAAACATGTAAGGTTTAATATAGCAATATTTATTAATCAGTTGTTTCCTCACATTTCCAAATGAAGGACAGACAAACAAATAGTGAAATTCCTTTCTTACGTCACATAACCAAGAGAGGCATTTTCTTTCAGATAATGCACAACAGTTCATTTCATGATCTTGATCAATGAATAATACAACAATTTGGCCCTACTTGATGTCTAGATCAAAACTTTGTGAAAACAATACCTTTCCAAAAATATTGTCAGTTTGATAATCTGATCAGAATTAACAATGATTTGTAACTAAACCGTACCTCGACGACCTTGGCAATTGAGGGGTGGGACTCTGGCTTCACCTCTTCGTTGTTGCACAGAACCACACCATCTGCGTTGTACCCAACACCGCTCACCTGAAACATTAGTTATCTCCCTTTATATCATTTGTTTAGCCAAAGGCAACAATTAAACACCAATTAAATATATATGCATGTCTTCTAACTTTGTGAACAAACATAAAATTAGAAGAGGCTCTATGAAAGTGTAGATATGTAAACGTTTGTTGCCTTGGGAGCTCTATTTGCATTGTCAAGTGTTTGACATCAATCTTTGGGTTATTGCCCCTGAACTGGTCATAAGACCCTGAAACTTACCTCTGCTTGCTTCCCGTCAGCTGAGCAGATGTGGGTGACGGTCATCTCATTCTTTGTCAGCGTGCCGGTCTTGTCAGAACACACCACATTCACACAACCTGGAGGCAAACATTAACCTGTGAGTATTGGCTGCTTTAATGTTTATGCTACCTTTAACCTAGTGTTCTGAGAGACTCATAGAGAGTCAATAGATCCTTGACATAAGGCCATAATATATTAATTGCTAGATTATCATCTGCTCTTTGTTCAAAATTGGGGAGGAAGGCTTTTTATTTCTCATTTTCTATTAAAATCATCAATTTGATGAATAATAGATGACTTAAATAAAATAGATAATAAATAAACATTGATTTCAATCATAGCAGTCGAATGTCTGTGTCAAACATATTTCCCTTCCCCAACTTGTACTCGTAGAGTATATCCAAGCTGCCTGTGAGGTACTAAACGGATAACAGTCACATAACCATCTCACAGAAATTACTAGCTACCAGTATTCTGTATATGTAAGTAGTGACCTTAGCCTGAGACAATGTACACAGACAAGCGTGAGAATGACGCTGTCATCATGGTAACATGGATGTGGCTGCCTGCATGCAAGGGGAAACTACCTGTCAACAAGATTAGGATCGACCTTTGCATGCGTGCGCCCACATTTCATAATTCACTGAACATGATAAACCCATCCAAGGCAACAAGTGGCCCAGTCCATTCGTGTCTACTCACCTAGAGTCTCTACAACAGGTAGCTTCTTAACAATTGCCTTCTGTTTGGCCATACGGATGACTCCTATAGCCAGCGTGACAGTGACCACGATGGGAAGGCCTTCAGGGATTGCTGCGACTGCAAGGCTGAAAGGATGACGTCAGTGTTACAGATCATATCTCCTCACAAACATTTGTGACAAAAAAGGACGGTCCGGATTGATAATGATGTTGAAACTACTGTCATTGCTGAGTACACCTATTATGAACATACCTAGCATTGACATCAATATACTACTTACCTAACACCTATTGTGAACATACCTAGCCTTGACATCAATATACTACTTACCTAAAACCTATTGTGAACATACCTAGCATTGACATCAATATACTACTCACCTAACACCTATTGTGAACATGTCTAGTGTTGACATCAAATACTACTTACCTAACAGCTACTGTGAATATATCTAGCATTGACATCAATATACTACTCACCTAACACCTACTGTAGTAATATCTAGTGTTGATATCGAAATACTACTTACCTAACAGCTACTGTGAACATATCTTGCATTGTCATTAATATACTACTCACCTAACACCTATTGTGAACATATCTAGCATTGACATCAATATACTACTCACCTAACACCTATTGTGAACATATCTAGCGTTGACATCAATATACTACTCACCTAACACCTATTGTGAACATGTCTAGTATGCCACGCCCCTGAATCCAGCCAAGCAGCATGATGATCCCTATGATAAGGAATGAGTAGAAGGAGAGCTGTTTGCCCAGCAGGTCCATGCTGATCTGAAGCGGAGTCTTGGGGGACTGGAAGTAAATAACACAAACATCTCTCTTAATCACAGTGCAGATTCACAATGGAACATCCTAGTCCTACAACAAGAAATTGATAGAATGTGCATGCACCACATCAGACAAAGTAGCATTCCAAATCAGGTAACATTATACCAGCCAATTCCATCACAATACTTCTTTTTCCAAGACTTTTATTGACGCCATAACATTTTGTATTACATATGGTGATTTCTTTGCTTGAAACTAAACTTGAAATTATGCATGGATTAGATACAATGATTCAAGCCAGCACAGTTTTATGCATGCAGCGCTCAGTCATAAGTCAGTACATATTATTTGAGTCAAACTCTCAATGTTTGAGGAAATAGCATGAAATATGTTGTGGCTGGTAAAGTCTTCTTACCTCTTCACCCTGCATCATCTTAAAAATCTCCCCAAATTCAGAGTTAAGTCCTGTTCCTGTGACAATGCCCTGAAACACATTAACAGACAATAAAATAGGGTGGAGATTGATACAGACAACATGTAGGACCTGAACAAACAACACACATCCTCCTGCACACCCTGTATGGGAGACCAACCTTTCACATTAACAGACAATAAAATAGGGTAGACATTGATACAGATAACATTGAGAGTGAGTGAGTTAGTATGGTTTTATGTCGCTTTTAGCAATATTCCAACAACATCACTGCGGGGGACACCAGAAATGGGCTTCACACTTAGTACCCATGTGGGGAAATCGAACCCGGGCCTTCGGCTTGACAAGCGAACGCTTTAACCACAAGGATTCCCGACCGCGCCAGTAACCCTTAAAACCTGAACACTCAACACACATACTCCTGCAGACACCATATTGGGAGACCAACCTTTCCTCGGCCTGTCTGGACCAGTGTCCCCATGAATGCGATATTCTTCTTATCTGAAATGCCGTTAGTGGTTTTCTTGTTCTGTGTTGCTATGGTTTTGTTCAGTGGGCACGGTTCACCCGTGAAGCTGGATTCATCTATGGACATGTCAATCGCCTAAAATAGAAGACACGTTTATTTATTGGCGAACAACCAATGAGCTTCAAGGAATTGCAGGTCATCTGTCCCGAGAGAATGACTGGTGTAAGTCCTGAGTTTTGGCGAGAAACTTACAGCACAAGAACAGATAATCCTTAATTCAAAGTTTCGAGAAGGTTATTAATAATACACAGTGACATTTTATGTGAGTGAGTTTGGTTTTACGCCGCCTTTAGCAATATCCCAGCATTATCACAGCAGGGGACACCAGAAATGGGCTTCACACATTATACCCATGTCGGGAATCGAACCCGGGTCTTCGGCATGACGAGCGAACGCTTTAACCAGTAGGCTACCCGACCGCCCTGACAATTTAAGAGAAACAATGAAGAAAACTATGAACTGTCAACCCTACATAGCTCAGATGACACAATTTAATTTGTGAGGTCATGAACAATGGATGACACCATATTTTTCTCAAAAATGAAGCACTGTGACATCATACGGCTTACATCGACCAATCAACATTGAGAAGAGCAAAATAACATGTGCCAATATCAGAAAGTTATTACACACTGATCATTCCTCCGTTATGGGTAATAATTGTCATATTGATTGATCGCTGACAACAAGGTTATTTCTCGACATTCTATAGACATCTGGAACATAGAGTATTAGGTTCACAAGAATATATTCAGAAGCTCATATCAACTTCTTTATATTTTTGTGAAAGTACTGCATTCCTAGAACTTATTGCACTGACCACCCACCTCAAACAGTCGTATATCAGCAGGCACTCTATCTCCTATACTGAGCTCAACGATGTCACCCGGAACCAGCTCACGAGCTAAAAATGTTTCTGTTTTGCCATCCCTCAAACTACAATGAAACAAAACAAAGTTATTCAGTTTTATTAACAACACATTTATTATCAAAATCTAGGCTATTTTGAAAGAACCTATACGAAATGAGAGGAACAACTCTAAATGCCCAAGTCCAAAGAAATTTGTTGATGACAACAGATATATCACCAGATGTTGAATTAGAGGATGTGAGTGAGTGCCAATCAGCAATATTTCATCCACATCAAGCCATAATATCCCAGTCTGGGCCAGGCAAAACAGTGGTCAACAGCAAGAGCAAAGATTCACAACATCAGCGCATGATAATCATACAAACCACGATCATGTTCCTCAAAATGATTTTATATCTCGGATTGCTACAATTACAATATTTTTACACAGAGGTACGAAACTTGTAGTGCAAAGATTGCTTTGTGGTATAGTGCCAAAGCATTGGAACATCTCATTACTCAGTCAAGTCAGCTGTCACTACTAGTGAGTGAGTGAGTTGGGTTTAAGGCCGCTTTTAACAGTGTTCCAGTTATATCGCGGCGTGTCAGATTAATGTGGGAGGAAAGCCCGAAGTGAAGCAGGTCTCGGACGTTTACGACTTCGGTGAAACCCGAGAGCATGGGTATGGTGCCGACAAACATAGAAACATAATCGGGGCGAACCGGGATTTGAACCCACAATCATAGGTTTCTGACTTGCCCAAGGGACGCAACTCTGCACAGCGAATCACGGCACCTTAGACGACAGGGCCACCCGTGCCCCCGCTGTCACTACTAGCTTAGTGTGCCTGTAATACCACCAGTAAGTGAATACTTTTAGCAATAGTCGAACAACATCACGGCTGGTGGTACCAGAAATAAGCTTCACACATTTTACCTGTGTGGGGAATTGAACCTGAGCTTTTGCGAGACGAGTGAATGCTCTAACCACTAGGCCACCCCCAAATCACCACATGAGGAACCACTGATGATTGTGACCAGGTAATAAAAGTAAGGCTTATGGTTGCCTACACATTAGGCCTAAACTAGCATGTACTCACCAGTGGCACTGAGGTGGGACTAGCTTAGTAAGGGCCTCCAGAGACTTCTCAGACCGATATTCCTGGAAACAGATGCATGAAGATATACATTTGACCCTCATCAAACAATAGATATGAAAGGAAAGAAAACGGATGCATGTATTTGAAAACAATAGCAACATGTATTAATATTGATATTAGATGTGCAGAAATAACAGAAAAGACATGGGTACACACAATGCAACTCACAACAGTAAATATTATTTGTTTGTTTGTGGTTCAGTGCCACACAATATTCCAGACGTATGACAGCAGTCTAAATAATCAAGTCTGGACCAGGCAATCCACTGACTGTCATCCTGAGCATCGATCTACACAATTAGGATAATATGACATACATCAACCAAGTCAGCAAGCCTGACCTCCAGTTCATGTTTGTCGTCTCTTACGACAAGCATGAGTTGCTGGGATCAATTCTAACCCAGATTTACACAGGTAGTTAATATTAATACTGATGCAAATTCATATTTGACTTTACTATTTTCCAAATTACACATTTCAGACAAAGTATCTTCAATTTCCATAACAACAAATCCCTCATACAAAGGAGGCTCTACATACCTGAATGAAGGCTACTGTTGACACTATAAGGATGGCCTGAAACAACAAAACATATTGCTTGTTAGTGTTTGAATGTTTGTTGTTGTCTGACAGGATGGAAAGCGAGTTTCAAGATGTTTCTGATCACTTAAAGAGCATTCTACAGAAGTTGTTTAACATCAGCAGTGGGGACAACTTACGACGGTGATGCTGACTGCATCGTCAAACTGCCGCATGAAGACGCTGACAACCGCTGAGGCCAGAAGCAATAGAATCAGTGGGTTGTTGAACTGCAAGGAAGAATATAGGACATTAATTCTAATCCACTGTGAAACAGCACTTAGATAACACAAAATACAACTTATGTCATCACATCAGCATCAAACAATTACAGCTTCTTGGCAGCGGCCACGGCAAACGAGTCCACGTTTAAGAACATGCTGAGTGCTGTTCAATGTCCAGCCAATATTCGAGCTACCTGACAGAGGCATGTAAGTAAATATTCCGGGCTAGCCAGTCAAGTGCTCGATAGCATGAGCCATGACCCTAACTGTCAGGGCACACTGACACAATCAGTCAGCTCACACGTTGAAACCATCTGATCTTCATAATCACAACCATAGGACAATCGGGACCCACTGCAACCCAGAATAACCAACCGATTTTCCGAATACAGCAACATTAAGCGTAGAAACAGGCACAGTAACAACATCCAACATGACGATCATAACCACCTAATCGTCATACATTATCTCTACAATGAAAGGACACTCTGGACCCACTCCAACCCAGATTAACCAAAGGGCTTTCAAAATACAGTAACATTAAGCGTAGAAACAGGCACAGTAACAACATCCAACCTGACGATACCCCACTGTAAATATGGGTGTAACCACCTGATCATCATACATTATCTCTATAATGATAGGACACTCGGGATCCACTCCAACCCAGAATAACCATAGCGCTTTCAGAACACAGCAACATCAACCTTGGTAACAACAGGCACAATAACAACATCCAACACGGCAATACCCTGCACATCCTCACTGACCTGTCCAAGAAACTTTCTCCAAAGGGGTTCCTCTTTGGCGATTTCAAAGTCATTTGGGCCATACATGGTGTGTCTTCGTTTGGCCTCTTCGTCAGAGAGGCCAGCCTGGAGGTGGGTGCGGCATGCCTCCTGAACCTCCTCGACAGACATGCACGACACGTCCGTCGACTTCAGCAAAGTCATCATCTCTTCAGATTCCTGAAGAGTAACAACAGTAAATAATCAGTCAGTGATTGGGAGAGAGCCCAATAGCATATGGACAGCGTTACAGGCTAATCAGGTTCAAACATAAGTCCACTAGTATGGGACTAGTAAAATTCAGGAAGGACAAGTGACATTTCCTTCTGTACTACCATATTTTCCAGTATTTTGGAGAAATTTTCCGAGCATTTTTCCCAGTCAAATGTTTTCACTCATTTCAGGTGCAGTCATGGTATGAAACGTCAGTTGCGAACTTGGACAAAACATCGTTCTTGTGTCATTGTGTGCATAAAGGCAATGACACTCAACTTCTGGTATACATGCTGGCTGTATGGTATACATGATGGCTGTATGGTATGGTATACCCAGGGGGAAGAATACCACTAAGCTGCCTATTTTCAGATAAAAATGTGTGCACTACACTAAAGAAAAACAGTACCACTTTTACCATTAGGTAGACAGCAGATCATTTCTGCAAACATTTGAAAACATAAATAAATTTCTAACCCAGATCAACATGGTGAAGGCAGATTACACTGACATGTATACACATGTGCTCATGGTTTGCCTGTATACAGTGACTCAGCGTCTGGAAACTAAACACCAACTCTTCTGTGAGGAACCTCTACATTTATACATTACTTCATTAACTTGATTTGTTGGTTCAGAAATTAATCAATACAAATGAATTCCAAGGGAATGATTCAATCTAAATGTACTGGATGTAACTATGTTCACCATAAAAAAATAGAATATATTGTTTAACATGATTAAGACGAAGTCAATTTAGATTGGTTGGTTGGTTGGTTGGTTTGTTGTTTAACGACGCACTCAGCAATATTCCAGCTATATGATGGCGGTCTGTAAATAATCGAGTCTGGACCAGACAATCCAGTGATTAATATCATGAGCATCGATCCACACAATTGGGATCGATGACATGCATCAACCAAGTCAGCGAGCCTGACCACCCGATCCCGTTAGTCGCCTTTTACGACAAGCATAGTCACCTTTTACGGCAAGCATGGGTTGCTGGAGACCTATTCTACCCCGGAATCTTCACGGGTCAAGTTAATTTAGAATTGACTTCAATATTTTTAGTGCTTAGAGACATAAACATTAAAAACGTTGTACACATTGTAGAAATCTGTGTAGCGGATTAACGCTAAGTTTGAACAATGGTTTATTCTTAGAACTTCATGAATGCAAAAACATTTTGAAGTCAGTTCTTATAAATATATATGTTAAAAGAAATCACTTCATAAACCCCAAAACAACCTGTTCATTCAATTATCAGCCAATCAGGAAAGAGTAGTCTGTTAGTGGGTGTGGCCTAAAACATTTCACACAAATATAATTTCTTGGTTGGACAATCAAATGCCACAGAATCACTTGCAATTTACTTATTCAAGTGTGATCATATCCAGAATCCCAGAATCCCAGAAATCATTGTATCCCAATTTCGGGGATTAATGCTCATGATATCAATCACTGAGTTGTCTGCTCCAGACTTGATTATATACAGACCACCATCATATAACTGGAGTATTGCTGAGTGCCGCGTTAAACAAGAAACAAACAAACAAGGATCCAACGCCACCTGGTCACACCTGAACCAGCAGCTGAACACTGTCAACACATCCCTCCTCAATCACTGGTTGTGAGTGAGTATGGTTTTACGCCACTTTTAGCAATATTCCAGCAATATCACGGTGGGGGACACCAGAAATGGGCTTCACACATTGTTCCCATGTCAGGAATCGAACCCTGGTCTTCGGCGTGACGAGCGAACGCTTTAACCACTAGGCTACCCGACCGCCCCCACTGGTTGTGTCTCAGATTACATAGACAACTGCATCATAAAACAGGGCATTACCAGTTTCATATCATTATGTTACTATGTTTACTGTTTTGTCTCATCTATTATGACTAATGCAAATAAAACTGTTAAGTGTCTGATAGTGATATGTGGGTTTATGACATCACAGGCGATTTTGGGGGATGTGAGTGAGTGAGTGAGTGAGTGAGTGAGTGGGTGAGTGGGTGGGTGGGTGGGTGGGTGGGTGAGTGAGTTGGGATTAGCACTGCTTTGAACAGTATTCCAGTTATATCATGGTTGCAGAAATCTTTGTAAATTATTCTCTGAATAATCTGCTCTGATGTCGCCATGTCAACAATGGCCCTCACGTGAAAGACGATGTCAATATTCAAATGCCTATAAAATGAACCCTACATCTACACCATGTACACTACTGTCTGCATTCTCTGTACCACAAACACAGCTGTCCTCTACTTACATGAAGAAACATTAGATTCTCAAACACAGTTCCTGTATGTCACCAACTCTCATGCCCTTAACATCTATAGTTCTTCACACATAAATTTACTGTACAACACAGCTGCCCCCTTTCTAATGGGGGAACAGTATCGTCCCAATCAACAGATTTTCAGCCACAACTTCTGAAAGTGACCAACCGTCATGCACTCACTGTTACATCTTCTCCACTAGCTTCATACTGATGATCGAACAAGTAAGACCCCAATGTTGGGATCACAAATGTGACATATAATGCAATATTGAGTGGAATAGCATTCATTGGAGTTATTAACATTTCAAAATAACATATCTAAAACAGTGTCTAGTGTAGGGTATAAGGTACGAAACTTTATACTGGGTCACTCAACACGTAAGTAAAATAACTTGGTGTCAGAACATATGTGTTACTTACTTACAAAAATAGAAACAAAACTGTTGTTCTATGTGTTATTTAAACTTGATATGTTGTATGCACCTAAAAGCCTAATACTCTATTTTACCATTTAAATTTTGATTTTATTGTGATGCCCTTACTTACACAATGATATATGATGCACTTAACATAATATTAAGAAACTACAGTTATAAATGGCAAGAGGATTCCAGATCTGTATCATTAAGGAAGATAGGTACATAGCTGAATGAATCATACATTTTCCACACAGCGAGTATCTATTTTTAAAAGAATGACCAATTACATATGTAACACAGACACAAATATAGGCACCCCAACACTGGAGAAGTGGTCATGTACACAGCTGCCTCCTACCTCCATCTTGTCCAAGTGGAAACGGTATAATCTGATCAAGAAAATACCAGTCACAGTTTCTGTATATCACCACCTCTCATGCCTTACGCACAGTGTATGTTGCACTAGACAGGCAGGCCCAGTGAGGAGCGGAGGTGACAGCTCTCTCACGACTCTCTCTCACTGACAGACAGTGTGACGTGCATCAATACCTTGCCCCACAGGCTACTGGAGGGTTTTAGTACTGCTTTCTGTTTCATGTCTTTGTCAAGCTAAAAACACAGACTCCTTTGCCATGAACCCAGTCAAATCTGCCAAACGACTGACATTTTCTAAAAATTTACACATTGCTACAGACATTATTCTCTCAGCGTTCTATGTGATGTGTCTTATCAATGGCTCATTTTGTATGCTGAATTTACCATATGCAAAATATTTTACTTGATTGATCGATTGTTTGGCTCTGATTGTATTTCCGCTGAAAGCAATATTTCAGCCATGCCTGAAGGGAACATCAGAAATCACCTGTTCACATCATATATTTTGTCTATGGAGAATCAAACCCAGGTGTGATGAGTGAACACTTTAGCCACTATCTTACCCACCACCTTCTAGAAGTAAGGTAAATATATAATTAGTAACATGATTAACCCTTTTTGTGATAACAAACATGGACACACCCTAAAAAACTCAAATTCAGCCAGGTCAATTTCATGTCTGTTTTACCGTAACTGTATAAAGGGACCATCCAATTACCCTGAAGGGCAGGCCTGGGACAAGACACCAACTGTGGGATCCGCTATGTACCACGATACCTTGCTCACGATCCGATAGGTATCCCGATACTTGCATGTGTTCTTATCTGTGGTGCGTATGCTATCTCTTTCATAGACAACAGCAGCAAATTGAAGAACTAACCCTTTATCTATGGGACGGCGGTCTGTAATAATAAATGATCACAAAGGGGATACTATGACATGCTTCAACCATGTCGGCAAATCTGACCACCCAATCCTGTTAGTCACCTCTTACGACAAGCCTGGGTTGCTACAGACCAATTCTAACCCGGATCTCCATGGGTTCATTTATTTATGAGGGAGGCAAGCCAGGAAACACTTGGGATACATAAAAAAAGAGAGATTAATCTGTCTGGAAATTATAAAGAATACTTCTGATCCACTTATCCGATAAAAGGGTTTATTGCCAGAGGCAGACCGTAATAGATTTAAAATTTGCATTCTGTATGCCAAATAAATGTCATCACAGTCACTCATGGTGTGAAGTGTTTCTTTAAAGATAATGTGCTCCGATATCTAACTGTCATGTCGATGTCATGAGTACATGCCTGGATATTTCTGGAAATATAATACACATGGCTAGAAACAGTGGTCAGTGCATAACATCCTCGTTACCCTTTCAATTACCAGTACTTACGCAGGCATATTCGTATTTGCATTTTAGGGATCGGTGTATAGTTCTAGGTAAATAGAAGGGACAACATCAAGTCGGAAGCTTGGCTTATGTGAGTGAGTGAGTGAGTGAGTGAGTGAGTGAGTGAGTGAGTGAGTGAGTGAGTGAGTGAGTGAGTGAGTGAGTGAGTGAGTGAGTGAGTGAGTGAGTGAGTGAGTTTGGTGTTAACCCCGCTTTGAACAGTATTCAGTTGTGGGAGGAGATCTGAGATGTTTACCACTTTACTGAAACATAATCAAAGTGAAACCTTGTTTAATCAGACATATATTTACAAGAAGGTGAAGCAACACTACGTGCCAGGTCAGCACAGAGTAGGTTGGTGCCCCGGAGCACCTAGCCTGACCCTCACTCGGCTGAGGTGACTTTGCTTTTCTCGCCTCTGCACCAAGGTTCATGTAGTGACAATGAAGCCATAAATATGAACAACAGTATTGGTCTGGGTGGGTGACAGTAAATCAAAAT